AAACCCTAAAACAAAATTCAGTTTTGCTTTTTAAAAAAATCATATGGCTTTTGTTTCGCATAATGGAAACGATAACTTCTCAGGTTTCTGAAATATCAGTCATTATTGCCAGTCCCTTCTCTGCAAATATGAGGTATCTGGATGGAAAACAACTCAATAATTTTGAAATACCAGGCATCAGCAAGCATGCACAGAAATGAAATGCTGAGGGCTGACTCCCGCTGTCACCCCTTCCCTGCCCACCCCACAGCTTCCTCGTTCAAGTCCTTTACAAAATCAGTGCGAAGGACTTAAGTGAACTTACTATGAAGTTGTACATCTCTGAGAATTACCTTTCTGATACTGAGTCTTTCTGTTAAAAAGCATACAAATTGTTTCTATTTTGTTATGTAAATGTTTTTCTTTTATAATAAAGACAATTTCTCATATATATTGTATACATTCCAAGATTTCTGTTCCGAGTGTCAGGGGCTTTTCTATGTATATCTTTTGTCTACCACAGACATAAACAAAGGCAATTACCTCTAAAATGGGGTCCCTTGCCCAACTGCGATACTTTTTTTAGTAATCTGTTGACCCTTCTAGCTTTCTGGAGACATGTCAACTGAGGACAGTCTTGCTCCTTCCAATCTTTACTGCATTTGTTTCTCCTCACAACAGGACTTCAGAACAGTACTAGGCAGAAGTGGTGACCAGGGGCTCGCCTGTCTAGTTCTTGGTATAGGAAAGGCTTCCAACACTTTACTATTAATATTTTTCATCAGGCCAAGGACTTTTCTTCTGTCCCTAATTTATGGGCTGCATTTTCCATTAATTAAAGAATCTGATCATTTCTTAAATGCTTTTTCCCAGTCTACAGAAGTAAACACATCTTAATTGCCTAGGACCACAAATTTAACTTGATGTTTCCAAACAGAACCTCCTCCCACTTTCCCAGTCCTTCCTGTGGGACTGCACCCAGGCTTCCAGGAAGACCTCGAACCACGTCTGCTGAGCTTGTATTAAACCCACTTCCCCTCCCTGTGATGGGCTCACACTACTGTCAGCCCTCTCTATCTTCTGTCACTAATTTCTGACACCTGCATTATTCCTTAATTTTTTTTTTAGATTTGATACTTTATATTATTTTTAAAGTAACTTTTTAAGGTAACATGTAACTTCATTGTCAGTGGTTTGTCTCTTGCTAACATATGAATTTAAAACTATGTTACCCTCAGATACTACTTTAATCAAGCTTCAAATAGATATATATTAATTTTATAATTGGTCTCAGAACTTTTCTATTTTCTTCTGTGACTCGTGAATTATTTAGTGATTTCTTTTAAATCTATAGATACTGTATAGGGGTTTGAAATTTCTATATGTGAGTATCTGGCTTCTCACTACCTGTATTATACACAGAACAAGGTAAATGTATACCAATTTTCTGAAATTCAACAGATTTGAGGATCTAGCATGACACATTTTCATAAAATGCTTCATATGTTCATGAAGATGATATATATCCTCTAATCTAATCTGAGTTTGAGTCCATTACACCAGACTTGATCTTCATACTGTTCAAATAACTTTTATTGACTTTTTTGTTTTGGGCCTCACAATAAATTGCAAGAGCTGCACTAAAATTTACCTACAACAATAATTTTCCTAATGATGGCAAATTTGCTAATTTATCTGTATCATTTTATTTGTACATTTTAAGACTTACTTTTAGATACACAAAGATTTAGAGATATGCTTCTTAAAAAATGAAGCTTTTATCACATTACAACTCTCAGATAGTACTTTCTATCTTAAAATTTTGCCTGATACCAGTACTCACAGGACCCTTCATTTGGTTAGTAATCTGGTTAAAAAAAAAAAAGCCATAACAGACACAGCTTGTTAACAATATATAACTGATTTTACCTTTTAACAGAAGTTCAATCAATTGACATTATTGGTAATTGTTAGACTTATTAGTTCACCTACTGCATTACTGCATTTTTTTACATTTTTTAAGATGAGATAAATTTGAGTCTCTTTTTTTCTTACTATTTAAATTTGAGTCTCTTTTTTTCTTACTCCAACCTACTATTTATTTGCAAGCTATATGTTTTATTCTTAGTTCATGAATTTTTCCAAGAATAAATCGGTCGAGGTAGAAAATCTTAATCCTCTAACCAAACAACACTCAGGCCTTACAGACCTTAAATCTTTGAAAGATAATGAAAGAGTCCTGGGGCAAGCATTAAGCAAGTTTCCAAAATTATAAAACTCAGTGTACATATAAAACTACAAGCAGTGTCAACTTCTACTTCCAGGTTAATAAACACATAGCACAGGCAAGTAAGCCAATGGCCATTACATAAATTAAAACATGTATGCTTTAAATAATCAGCTTTACAAGAGAGAGAGAATGAATACCAATAAAATAAGACTCTGAAAGGTAATAAACTGCCAAATCTTACTCATCCTTCAGATAAGGGAGAATTTCTCTGGACATCACAGGAAAAGATGGGCCTTTCAACTCATACTATAAAAGAAGTATAATTTTGACAATAACCCAGAAAATAGTAACACAAAAAACAGTATTAGGTTTATCTCATCTGTGATTGTACCAAAAATACTCAAGGTGATTCCATATTGAAAACCACCATTACCCTAATCGCAATGACTATGCAGAGTTCATTCCAAACATCAGGTCAGCGCAGCACTAGTGAGTTCACTAATGTAACTGTGTGCCAGTTACAATGCTGCCATGTATTTCAAAAGCACTGATAAATGGTAACATTTTCCTTAGTTTAAAAAACTGTAAAAAACAAACTGAAATAGAACACAACTACCTGAACCCAATAATTACTGGCAAAATAGTAAAGGTACTCTCTAAAGTGAAAAACAGATAAGGATAAACACATGCATTTTAACACATGTGTATAGTACTAAGGGCATTAACCAAAATGAAAAAACAAAGACTAAAAAATTGAGGAAGAAGAACCAAGAAGCCAGCCTGCCTTCCCACGAGCCAGCCAGCAGGCAGGGTGGGAGATGAGAAGAGCCCCAACCCCACCCCACAGAGGAAGTCAGGCTGGGATGACAGCAGCCGAGGTACAGAAACAACTCAATGCCCATATTGACTTTCAGGCCTGGGGACTGTAGTCTGAGCATCTGTTTAGAGGACAACAATATGCAATATAGCAACTATGGGGGCTCTCCTTCTGTCTTGTTTTTGAAATCCAACATTGTTCTGTTTTGTTTTGTTCTGTTTTATTGTTGTTTTATTCCCTTCAAAATAAAAAACAAGCTGAGAAAAAATAAAACTGCATAGTTTACAAATAATTGTTGATATGGGGCTGGGGATTTAGCTCAGCAGCATAAGCACCTGCCTTGCAAGCAGGCAGTCGTGAGTTCGATCCCTGGTACCAATAAAAACGAAAAAGACAAAAAAAAAAAAAGAACAGATGCTATAAAAGAGCTAATAATAAATCTGAAAAAGACACAAGACCAAGACCAATATGAAGAAAATGATAAAATTTTCTTGAAGGACATTAAGAAGTGAACAGCCCTCAAAAAAGAGGTATTCATACTATGGACAGAAAAATTTGGCATCATAAAAATGTTCTTCTTTTAGTTAACAAAATTTAGTAAGGGCTAGGGAATATAGCTTAGAGGCGTAAGCACCTGCCTGGCAAGCAGACCGTCCTGAGTTTGATTCCTGATACCAAAAAAAAAAAAAAAAAAAAAAAAAAAAAAAGCAAGTACTTGCCGGGGGGCCGGGCGTTGTGGTACATACTTGTAATCACAGCACTTGGGAGGCTGAGGCAGCAAGATTATTGTGAGTTCAAGACCAGCCTGACCTACGAAGTGAGCTGGAGGCCAGCCTGAACTGCCTAAGACCCTGTTTCAAAACAACAACAACAAAAAAAAGATTTAATAAAATTCCAGTCACAGTCCCAACAGAGAATTTTCCCTTTGGTCTGAAAAGTGACAGTACCAAATTTATATGGAAAAGCTGATTATATGAATATCAGCAAAGAAAATTTCTAAGGAAAAAGAATAATGGTGGGAATTTACTGAACTCAAATAAGGGTGGCACATTAAAAGACTTTCTCCATAATGTACTGAATAACAAAAGATTAATATTCAAATATCTTTTAGGGGTAGAGGTATAGCTCAGTGGTAGAGCACTTGCCTGGCATGTATGTGGCCTTAATGCAATCCCTAATACCACTGGAGGAAAAAACCAAAAATAATTTCTTTTAAATAAATACTGAACGACCCTATTGAAGGATGAAGCATGTGAAAAGGCAATTTACAGAAGCAAAAAGGCACATCTATTTGAAAGATAAATCACACAACTGCATGTGGAGGATAAAAATGAAAATGATGCGACGTCTCCGTAGTTCCCTTTGACTCAACAGCAGCAACTAAATGCTGGCAGCAGTATGATGGAACAGGCATTGTCTCTTAATTTGTGGAAATATAAATTATTATAATGTTTAGGAATCTATCATTATACAGAAGGATATTCACTACTTTAACAAAAATTAATAAACAGCAAAAACTCTAAATGTTCATTAATAAATAATTTGAAACTTCTGTTTATCATGGATAAATATGCAACAATACACTGAAAACTGGTAACGAGAAAGTGCACTGATCCGTACTGTAATTCTGAGTATGACAATATTTGTGGAACAAGATCCAAATCCACAAACGTCTGCACAGTTATGTGAAAGATACAGACATCTTAAGTAAACGGCCGGCCATGTCAGTTTCTTGTTTTATAAGAAGTACATTCAAAGCCATACCACAAACACAGGAGGAGTCTGTAGTAATAAAATATCTTACATAATTTTTTTCCCAATTGAATGTGCTATTTTAAAGTGACCAGCTGTGGGTCCGGATTATCTACTCATTAAAGTATTTGACTAAAGCATACATAAAAAGCCAGTGTGCAACTTTAACTCTGACTTCAGTGATCCCCTCTGCATTCTGAAAGAGAAATTGAGTGTGCTTACCAATGTCGTTAATCACTGCTCTGATCTTGGAGACAAAAGGGCCAACTTCACTGGGATGCATTTTGGCTCTTTCCTTAAGGTCAGCACCTGCAAAATATTTCATTAAAAATATAATCTTGTTACATACAACACTGAAACATAAGATGAACACATCACAGGAAGGTCCCGAGCCATTTGGTAAGGAACTCCACAACCTAAGCTCTTCTGCCAGTGCCCCCAGCACAGATCATCTGCCTGGTCGCAGACTGTGATGTCTGGAGCAGTGCTTGCCTCCTGACTACAGATCCTCCCATTCTCAAAGAAGAAACTGCCTGGGTGGCACTGATCCATAATTATTCTAAAAGACACAAAAACTATGAAAAACTTTACATGTTCCTCCATTAAAAAACACAAGTAAAGTCAGGCACACACCCTAAATGCCTGGTAGTCAGGAGGCAGAGATGAAGTTTGAGGCCCCGCCTTTGGGTAAAACACAAAGGTCTGAGGCCACAGCAGCGCAGGGACAGCGCAATTTGCCCCCGCAGGCGGGGCCTGGAGCCAGCCTCCAGCACAGGAAGAAAACGGCAAACACGATGGTCAACAATGACACTGGGGCTTCAGTACCTGCAGACGCCGGTAGGCTACTGACACCACAGGGCCTCAACAGGACACAGCTAAGCCAACGAGGGGTGTGGCACTGAGCCCTGTGCCATCAGCCAACCCTTCTTCACCACACCACCTTGGTTCCCATGCACCACATCTGAAAAATGCTGGCTTCACGGTACAAACCAAGACACACACTCTTAATTATGATTTTACTACACAATGCTAATTTTGGAACACAGGAAAACAGACTTATGGAGTTCCTTATGAGATCTTTTAATTCAGCTAGGTGAGGTGGTACACCCTGTAATCCTAATACTCAGCAGGCCGAGACAGAAGGATGACCTCAAGGCCAGCATAGGCTACTCAGCAAGACCCTGTCTCAAAAAAATAAAAAACAAATGAACAAAAAAGAGATTATTAACACTCTAGCCAGGCTTGGCTGGCTCACACCTGTGATCCCAGCACTCTGAGAGGCTGAGGCAGGAAGATGGTAAGTTTGAGGGAGAATAGGCATCATTAACTCTGAACTCAAAACAAACTGAAGTGAAGCTAAAGTCCTAGAAATGGTTGGCCCTCATCAAAACAAACCAACCCAGAGTTCTCTACATTCTTATTGGCCCACTATATATTAGTCATGACTATGAATGACATCAAGGACAGACAGGGCTCACGCTCTTCAGGACAGGCAGAACTAGAGTTGACAAAGCACTTTGTTATATTCCCTGTCAAAACATATGCATATATCTACAGGCATACAGACGCAGACATACAGATACATAGATACACAGATACCAGAAAACCTCAAACATGTGAACAAGAAACATAAACAACATTCAATGCAACATTAATAAAATAGCAAAAACTGGAATTAACCTAAATGTCTATCAACAAAGGAATTAATAAAAGTAGGACATTTACAAAGCGTATTATATATGAACCAAAAATGAAAGAAGAGTACTGATAAGATAAATCTATTAAATGAAAAATATAATTACAGAAAGATACATAATAACCACGTACATAAATTTTTAAAACAAGAATGCTAACAAGAAGAAAAAACAGACAAATGGGATTTCTTGTGCACGGCAAAGGAAATAACAGAATGGGAGGAAATATTTGCAAACCACACAGCTAATAATTGATCAATATGCAAAATGTAAGGAACTCAAACAACTTAGCAAGAAAATAGTCTGATTTTAAAAATAGGAAAAGGATGTATAAACAAAGACATACAAATGGTCAAAATGTGAAAAAATGTTCAACATCACTAATCGTTAGGGAAATGTGAACTAAAATTACAATACGAAGGCCAGGAATTTAGCTCAGCAGCACAGCGCCTGCCTGGCAAGCACAAGGTCCTGAGTTTGATCCCTGGCACAAAAAAAAAGACAAAAAGAACATTTACAGTAAGATGTCATCCTGCCTCAGTTTAGAACACCAATTCTCAAGAAAATAAAGGATAAAGTGCTGGGGGCTGGGGATTCAGCTCAGCGGCATAAGCGCCTGCCTTGCAAGCAGGCAGTCGTGAGTTCGTCGATCCCTGGTACCGATAAAAAGGGAAAAGGAAAAAAGACAAAAAAAAAAAGGATAAAGTGTTGATGAGAATGGAAAGAAGAGAGCCCTTGAAAGTTACTGATGCAAACCTCAGCTATTTCAGCCTAAAACACCAGCAGCACAACTTCCACTGGGATCCAGCAACCCCACCACTGGGCACAGACTTGTTTTCCCTCATTCATGGTTACCAATTCACAAAAGTGGTCCAAATATATTACATGGCAAATTCCAGAAACAACTGCTAAGTTTTAAACTGCACCATTCTGAGTTGCGTGGTGAAATTCTGCATTGTCCTTTACTCCCCACACGGCTATGAACCATCCCATGACCACAGAGCGTCCGCACTGTGCTCAACCCCATCTGTAAGGCACCCCGTCACCATCCCAGGCACCAACTCACTGTCACAGGGCTGTCATGTACATTCATCACCCTTGTTCTCAACTGCTTTGTTTTCAATGCCCTTATTTTACTTAACAATGAACGTAAAGTACAAGAGTGGTGATGCTAACAATTCAGATAGTCCTTCAAAAATAAATCATAAAGTACTCTGTTTAAATGAAAAGGTAAAAGTTCTTGATGATAAGGAAAAACGATTATAAAATTGTATGCTGAGGCTGCTAAGATCTGCAGTACGAATGAACAGGAAAAAGCACAGGCATATTTAATTTTATTGTGGTTTCACTGTACTGCACTTCAGAGATACTGCATGTTTTTCAAACTGAAGGTTTGCTGTAACTTTCCTCAGGAAGTCTATCAGGACCATTCTCCCAAAGCTCGCATTAACTTCACATTCCGGTCACTTTTTGTAATTCCCCAGTCTTTCACACTTGTTCAGTGTTACTACATCCCCTATCACTGCATCTGTTAGGCTGACTAGTGATGTACAATGTTACCATTACAAGGTTTCCGGCTGCCATGAATGGTGCTCCTAGAGAACAGCAGACTTACAGCACATTACTGAAACCCAACAACAACCTCTCAGCAAGTGTTCACAGGGGCAGACGCACACACCAGAGGTGATGAAGCACAGTGAAAGAGCACATCAGAAGCCAAGACAGGCCAAAAGCTAGGCCTCCTGCACCAAGGAACCGAAGCCGTAAGTGCCTGGGAAGTGCCACTCGGTGAACACAGAAACAGTCGGAGGTCCAAACAGCCACACTGCTTCTGGGGGGAAGTTTTAGTGATTGGACACAAGACCACACTGGCCACACGTGCATTCAGTCACACCCTGACCCAGCTCCAGGTCCCCATCCATCTACTGAGGCGGAGGCGGAGGCGGAGGAGGAGGAAGCCACAGGCGGACCTGGTCCATGAGGCTTCGGGAAAGCAGCAGTCCCGAGGCACGAAGCATAACCCATGCTGCTGCAGTGACACACAGGAGGTCCTGGTAAGTCAAGGCTGCCAAGAAACAGCCGATCTCCTACCAAGAGGAGGCCACATGCAACTGTCACATGAGAAGGAATGTGGGCTGACTAGGGACTGTTAGGGGCTAGCCCTACCGTGGGCTTGTCACTGGATTTAAGTTAAATCCAATGCTCACTCACCCTTCTAAGACTCCCAGGGCCTCACAAATGAGACCACCACGTTCCTCTGCCTGTGTGCTGTGAGCGCACACAAAGGGCTGACAACACATTCCTATCTTCTGGTATTTCAAGCCCCAGGTTTAGACCACTACTCAGAAAGGAGAGTCTTCTCAAAATTGTATCATTCACTGGCATTTAGATACCACTAAGGACACTTAGGTCATGAAGAAACTCAAAGCACCATCAATAACAGGAGTCTGGAAGAAGTTCACTCTAACCTTTCCAGACAACTCTGAGGGGTTTCTAAGGTCAATGGAGAAGCAGTATAAGAGAAGCAGTTAGAGAACTGAAATTGAATGTGACTCTTTTAACCATCTGATAAAACTAACAGAGGAGGAACTGCTTCTTATGAGCAAGGAAAAGTGGTTTCTTGAGGTGGAATCTACTGGTGAAGGAGCTGTGACAGCTGAAGCGAAGGCAAAGGACTCAGGATACTGCATATAATGAGCTGCTAAAGCAAAGGCAGCCTTAGGAAGGAATAGCTCCAATTCTGAAACAAGACCTGTGGTGGGGTAAAATGTTACTATGCTTCCACGAAAGGAAGAGCTGACCAATGCAGCATACTTCTGCGTGGTCTGGCAAGAAACCTTAACCTTCAGCAGTCACCACCTTGAACAGTCAACAACCATCAGTATTTTGGCCAGACCCTTCACTGATTTTAAGTGGCTGAAGCTCAGCTGATCAGTAGCATTTTTCAACAATAAAGTATTTTAACTAATATACATTTTTTAAAGGAATGCTATTATGCTTAAATTACAGTACCATGGAAAAATTTTTATATGCATGGAAAGGCCAAAAACTTTGTACGACTTGCTTCATGTGACAGCTACTTGCCTGCCACATAGAAAACTACTGTGGGTTGCTCGGAACCCAAGCCATCTCTTGAGATGGGCCGGCTGCATCAGCAGCTTTCTGTTACTTACCAAGTACCTGAGAGGATCAAAGTTTAAAGAGAAAGGTTCTCCTGGCTCACAGTATTAGAGGTTTTAGTCCACGTCCAGTTGGCCCTATTGCTTTGGGCGTGTGGCAAGGCAGTAGGTGGGTGACACTGCACAGCTGGGAAGAAAGGCCAGCATCCCATAATCCCCTTGGGAGCACACCCCCCCACCCCATGGCTGAAAAGCCTCCCTCAAGGCCTCAGGATTAGAGATTCCACACCTCCATCACACCAAGCCTAGGATGAAGTCTGGCCTTTGGGGACATTTGAGATCCAACCTGTAGCATCTGCATGAGGGTCAGTGCTATTCCTGGTGCTGGGTATCCACTGTAGGTCTTGGAATACACCCTCTATGGATAAGGGATAACTACTAAAACATACAAAGAAAACAAATCAACTGTGTCACAGAGCTATCTGCACCCCATTTT